GTTATGTATGAGGATAAAATGAATGTACTACTGATTCCAGCTCCAGTTCAGTACCTATCTATTCTATCCTCATTTTTGTGCCCATTCCACTTTACCATTTAGTATGACAACATTGTCTCCAGGTAGAACAGGAAACAGATTTTGGGATTTTTTTGCTCATTGTCATTCCTGTTCTTTGGACAAGAAGCATAGGTGAGGCTGGATGCGACTGCTAAATCTACCATAAAGGGCTTGGCTGGCATAATGGATTTATCTGGTGCATTCCATACAAAGCTCCCTGAGGTTCTCAGCATGCAGAAAAGTGTTGCACATGCCCACCCACACCGGTTAGGAGTTTCCTGCTTTTGCATTCCTCTCTCATTTCTTGCTATGTTCCGTTCCTCCCTTTGCACTAAACTGTCAGATAGTATCTAATGTTTTGTGCCCGCCTCAAATTCTTTGTACATGACTGAGGCAAAGTTTGACTATATCTTTAGGAGGTATGAGCATTCTGACTAGGTCAAGAAGATTGTTTTTATTTTTCCTGAATTGACCAAGAGAGCAGTCCTTTAATCAATGTCTTAAGAGTATCCATTTCTGGAGGAGGAAATATGTTAGTCTGATGGATAAAGTAGAGGCTTCCAGCTGGCCAATATGTGGCACCCTCTTGGTCAGGGTCTGTGTTGAAGCTCCCTCACCCTTATACAGAGAAAATGAAGAATATCTAGGAGTGTAGTTTATTTGGGTAACTTTCTGTGGCAGCTTGACCAGCTTTTGTCCTTACCCATTCCATGTAAATCACCTATTAAAAACATGGATAGGTAACCAGTGTCCTTTCAGAGCTTGATGGACTCCAACTGCAATCAGCCCCAGCTAACATGGCCAATGGTCAGGCATGATGCCAGTCGTAGTTGAACAACATCTGGAAAGACAGAGGACACTGCTCTTGCTATAAAGGATAAATCTAGTACTACTCTGAATGAACACACACATTGCATTTTATAGAATTCCTCCAGGCTTGCAAAGGTGTAAATAACATGTGGACTTCGAGCCAAGGAGATAAGTAACCACAAAACCTTTAGAAGACATCTGAAGGCAGCCTTGCATGTTTATTATGTTTTTAGATATGTTGGAAGCCCCCCAGAGTGGCTGGGGCAACCAGTCAGAGGCATGGGGTATAAAACAACAACAACAACAACAACAACAATAACCAAACAAAAAACATTATTATTATTATTATTATTATTATTATTATTATTATTATTATTTAGAATGTCCCTATTTTGATCAGAGAAATATTGAAGGGAATGAATAATGTCTCCCCAAATAGTTAATCCATTGCTGGCCTACTGGGTTCTGTAATTATCTATATGGATAAGGAAGCTTTCTGGTCAATAAACAATGCTCATTCATCTCTTTTCCCAGCCCTTTCAGCTTCACACAGTATCTTTATAGCTAGCACAAAAATAAAACCATGAATCAGGAAACCTTGATCAGCAGTGACCATTTAAATCAAATTGTTCAGCAATTGGTTATACTGAGTCACACAAATGAAAATCTGGACCAGTCAGGCGAAAAGTTATTATTTATAGCCTCATTTGTTTGTTTGCGGCCCTGCATAAAAAATTAGCCACCTCTAGAATGTAAAATTGAGACTCATTTTTCTAGCATTGGCTGGAAAAAGTTGTCTTAGCTATAGTGGGCTTAACCCTTGAGGGAAAGCACATTTGCCATGTCACAGAAAGGGCTGCTGCTGCTGTTGCTGCTGCGTGGACATTTCACCATCACCACCCCTTTGGTTGTTTGGAATCTACCATTCTAATCACCCTTAGGACAATCTCCAGCAACTCCTACCTGAACATGTATGTGCTTCCATTAAACATCAGTGCATGCGCACTAAGGAATTTCTCGTTCTCAGAAGAAAATGTTTTTTGTACTGAGTGCTAAGAATTAGCATAATTGTTTTGACAGAGGTTTGTGGATATCAACCCTTTGGCTACCTCAGTTCTCATTTATTTTCATGGATCTGCTGTCACTCTGGGTGTTCCTACATCTAAGAATAGTCTGGGAATGTTGTCTATTTGCCCTTTGCATTAGCTGGTTGGTGAACTTGCAGTTTTTGGTTCAAGAAACAAAACCACCCATCCTGTTTCTTAGGACTTTTTCTTTTTCAGCCAGAACTCTGTTCTGGCAACTCTCAGGTGTGCACCATTGCCATCATAAGAAAACAAGGAAGGCGTTCATGGTGAGTTCTGGCACCTCTTTTTCTAGGAAAATAGCACTACTGTTTCTGAAACTTGCCAGACAGAGAGATAAGCATAGACTCATGTTCTATTATTAGAAATGTCCTGCTTGATCAGACTAGGGGCCTGTCATCCTATTTCTCACAGTGGCCAACTAGATGACTCAGAAAAGGCTATGAACAGACCAAAAGCCCTCTCTTCTTGTTGTTCCCTGCTGACTGATATTCAAATACATTCTGAATACAGTATTTATATTGGCCACCACAAGCCCATCTACCACCCTAGCCTCTGTCAACATAGAGAAAATCCATCTGGACAAAGTTGGGAGAGATTAACTCCTCCTAACCTGCCTCAGGACTCTACATGCATACTTTCCTGCTAAGAATAAAACCTGTGGGAAGTTTTTCTCGTATAATGAATACTTTGTCATCTTTTACCCCCTTTCTCCAGGCTAATCCCTTCCTTGGAGAAATGGAAGGGCTGGCAAAGAGGACAGGGTAGCAGTAGGATACAAAACCTAAGTCAAGTCAGACCCCATTCAAATATTGATGGATCAACTGGAAAACAAGTCCAGACTCTTTGAGTGAGAGGAGTTTGTATTTTGAGCCTGGATTCTTTAATTTCTCCACCATCCATCCATCTGAAGGATGTGATGTGGTAGAAGATATTTGCCATTTCTGAAAATGTGCAACACAATAAGAATAGCCCACTGGATCAGGCCAATGGCCCATCTAGTCCAGTATCCTGTTCTTGCAGTGGCCACCCAGATGCCTGTGGGAATCACCAGAGCACTCTCCCCTCTTGTGGTTTCCAGCAACTGGCGTTCAGAAACATTGCTGTCCCCAACCACAGAGATGGCAGTGTGGCTGATCCAGTCCATGTTGTGCCAGCTGAACTTCAGAATGATGCTCGGAAGTGCCTTGTAGTTGGCTGGCGGATGAAAAGCTGTAGACAACTGCAGCAAGATAGCGTCTGTAGGAAGATTTAAAGGATGAGCTTTGCAGTTCACAGAGCCTCTGACAAAAAAGAAAGAACGAAACAGATGTGGAGTGGTTGTAAGAAACTAGCTGTAGGTTCAGATGAAATATGCTTCTAGTTTCTACCAACAACCCCTGACTCGCCCCCACTTTACTGTCAGTTGTAATATATGGTGAAAACCAGAAGGAGGAATGGTCTAATTAGGTCCCAAAAGCTTGTATATAATACTTGCATCCTGTTAATCTAATAAAAGCTCTTACCTCCAAGCTTTTGACATAGATTTATGTCTAATAGGTAAAGTTGAAGCTTCCAGGATAATAAATTATTAAACATCCACAGCTCATAAATTGAGCTTTCATGCAAAGTTACTTAAAATAGGAAGTCCAAGTATTCTAAATTAAACTGCACTTACTATATGATTGTGTTGGCTATTACTTTAAAGAAAGAGGGAAATTCATTATAGGAGGGAGTGAGGGGGGGACTCTAGAAAATGTCTCAGATTATGGATGCAGTTACCTGCTGGGTTACAGCTTAAATGCGGAACAATTTTTCTTTAAAAGTTATTATTTGGGGGAAGTCTGTCACTGGACGTTTGCGTCATTCCCTTTGTTTCTAGTGTTCAGGCTTTAGGTGCCATTGTTTAGATAGCCAAAATAGCAAAATCCACACAGAAGAGGTAGGTATAAGCACACTTGGGGAAATATGGAGATTTGCAGAAGTGAAAATACATAAATAAATAAATACAAAATTGGAAAAATAATTAGAGGGGTATCAACCTCTTTTTTCCTCCCTCCACCATTTAGCAAAATTCCATGAAGCAGTATTAGTGGAAGCTTGTTCATTAGGGCAAATTGGACTTTGCCCCACTAATTTCAGTCTGCCCTTGGTAAATCCCTCTCCCCACCTGCATCCTGTTTTACTTTCAACCAGTCCAGGGCATGGCCACAATTCCTGCAATTTTACTTTTGTGGTTCTGAGTACGTTCACAGCTTAATATGAAAATTCCCCGCAAGCTATTTCTGAATAAATGGCTGTGATCCTAAGAACCCTTGAAGCTCAGAACCTGCTTCTGGACTTCATGGAATCTGACTGGAAGTTCATCAAACTGGAAGTTCTCTTAGAAATACAAAAGAATCATTACTTTCTTCATACTGGTGGTAAATGCCATTCCTTTGGAAATCACAATTGGTAACTTAAGTTATTTTATGTTACTGTTTATTTATATGTCATCTTTTGGCCAAGCTCATGAATAAAATGAAAATACAAATGACAATTATTATTATTTTTAAAAAAGACATTTTTAAAATATACAAAAATTTGGTTATATTCATGCCAAAAAGACAAAAAGCATTCTCCACAAGAGTAAAGGCTTGAACAGCAGCTTCTTCTTATCATGGTCCCAGGCAGGGAAGTGAGGCAAGCCTGATGGAAAAGCTTGCCTCCTATGGTTCCAGCCATCACAGTTGTGTCCTTGCAGATCAAGTTTTATCGCCAGGTTTTCCTATGAAAGTAAGTTATCAAAAGCAATAGGACTTCCAAGTTGATGTCTTCAATGCTGAGGCTCAAACTTCAGAAATTTCATACACTTAATGGGCACTAGCCATCTAAAATGAATCACTTTCAGAGGAAAAAATGTGTACATGCTTAAATCTCTCCTATTGAAATCAATTGAGCTTACAAACGTTTGGCTCTGATTAGATCAGTTTTCATCAACCATGGGTCTCCAGATTTTAGAATCAATGAATTGTAGAGTTAGAAGGGACCCTAAGGATCATCTAGTTCAACCCCCTGCGATGCAGCTGTCCCATACAGGGATCGAACCTGCCACCTTGGCGTTATCAGCACCACACTCAAACCAAGTGAGCTAGTTGGACTACAATTCCCATCATCCCTGCCCTTGAGATGAGAAAAATGTAAGCTGTAGTCTAACAGAATCCAGGAAACCATGCTAAAGAACACTCAGCTAGATGATGGTCATCGTGACAATGTGTTGGACATTTCTTACCCTCCAAATGGTCCAAAGGAAGCACCTGCTGTCTGTTGCATTTGCCACCATAGACGTTGCTGGCACTGATGCATAGAGAACACAGGCTGGCAGCGAGGCCAACAAGAAAAAGAAAACTGTGCGTCTTGCTTGGGAAGGCTTTGCTTGTTGGGAGGAACTTACAGTACGTGCGATGATAAATGCCACTGTGCTGAATCAGCATGCTGGATTGTTTAACTTTGTGACCTCCTTGAAGTTGATGGTTTCCCCCCATAGATTGTCTTTGACACAACCTATAACATAGACTGTCAAAACTACTAGAGGAGAAGAAAAGATATCTGTATTTATTTTATAACTCAAGAATTCTTCCACTGTGCAGATCTCAGGTGTCCTGCCACTCTCCTGGACAATTTCATATGCCTTTTTGATTGCATCAGCCAAGAGCAAGGGGGTCTTATTTCTTCCTTGTTTTCTCCTAGTCTGTCACCTTGACTTTTCACATTATTTTTTTGATGCCAGGACCCTAGTTTCAAAGGCAAGACAATACAGTATTCATCCCCACCACACAGTCTGAATGCTGTTATGCTTAAGATTTCTTATTTTAAAGCCACTGGGAAGGATTTTGTTTTCAGCTTAAAGACAGCAGTGAGACTCATGCTTCTAAAAATGAATGCTGAACCCCTCATCTTTCCTCTTCTGCCCAGTATGAAAGAACATTTAGCAATTGCAGATTTAATTTTCCAGGTTTGACTGTATCAAGGATACACCTCTAGATTGTTGTGCTGTACTTTCTACCTGCACTTTCTACCCACACTCTAAAGTGCGACAGAGATCTAAAACATTCGAGAATCTTAGCTGTTAGAGATTTTAGCCCATTGCTTGAGCTGCTCCACCTGTGCGCTGAGGATATGTGTATTCAGCTTTCCATGACACTGATGTGAATGTGATGGTGAGTGGGAGACTCCTCATGCTAAATTGCCTTTCTAAAGAAGACAGAAGACTGAATCAGGAGTCAAAATAATGTTAACAGATTGGAGAACTGGGCCCAACTAACAAAATAAATTTGAATATGGACAAATGTAAGGTTCGGTACTTAGGCAGGAAGAATGAGATGCAGAAGTATAAGATGAGGGACACCTGGCTTACTAGTTGTACATGTGGAAAGGATCTAGATGTCTTAGTGGACCACAAGCTCAACATGAGTCAACAGTGTGATGCAGCAGCTAAAACAGCTACCCTTATTCTAGGCTGCAGCAACAGAAGTATAGTGTCCAGATCAAGGTAATAGTACCACTCAATTCTGCCTTGGTCAGACCACACCTGGAATACTGTGTCCAATTCTGGGTACCACAATTTAAGAAGGATTGTTGACAAGCTGGAAAGTGTGCAGAGGAAGGCAACCAAGATGATCAAGGGTCTGGAAACCAAGCCTTATGAGGAACGGTTAAAGGAGCTGGGTATGTTTACCCTGTAGAAGAGGAGATTGAGAGGAGCTATGATAGCCATCTTCAAATATCTTAAGGGTTGTCACATGGAAAATGGAACAAGCTTGTTTTCTCCTGCTCTGGAGGGTAGAACTTGAACCAATGGTTTCAAGTTACAAGAAATGAGATTCTGACTAAACATCAAGAATAACTTTCTGACAATAACAGCTGTTCGACAGTGGAATGGTCTCCCTTAGAAGGTTGTGGACTCTTGTTCCTTGGAGGCTTTTAAGCAGGGGTTGGGTGGCCATCTGTCATGGATGCTTTAGCTGAGATTCCTGCATTGCAGGGGGTTGGGCCAGATGATCTTTGGGATCCCTTCCAACTCTACAACTCTATGATTCTATTATTTTATGATCTGCAAAATAAGATATTGAAATGGAATTCAAATAGTTGATTGTTCCTAGTTCAGGGTCTGTTTGCAAATGACCCAATATAAGAAGTCAGCAATCCCCTATAGCATTTTTCCACATTATTTTACCGATACAGTATTTTTGAATGGTCACAAAGATATCTGTATGTCTAACTCCACTTCTGCTGAAGTACAGAATTACCATTATAATCCAGAGGCGGGTCAAGTAGAAAGCAGTTGGCAACATGCAAAAAGAGTTCATTTCCCAAGTATTTGTGCATCATTCTTTCAGCATATTTTGATCCAAACCATTATCAGTAAAAGTCCATCCCAAGCATAATATGGATGATTTTCTCAGCATGCTAAGCTTTTCCATTTAAATAATCGATGCACTCAAGCTGTGCTGAATGAGGTTAAGCATCCACTTCTGTATCTTTAGTATGGAGGAAATCTGCAAGTGTGGGGGCAAAGTGAACACACAGAGGCTGCCGCCTGTGAAGCAGAGCAATCTTGAAAAGAAAAGTGTCCATGTACAGTCCGATGAAATACCCTTGAGGAAAATATACTGTATTTTTCGCTCCATAGGACGCACTTTTTCCCCTCCAAAAATGAAGGGGAAATGTGTGTGCGTCCTATGGGGCGAATGCAGGCTTTCGCTGAAGCCTGGGGAGCGAGAGGCATCGGTGCGCACCGTCCCCGCTCGCTCTCCAGGCTTCAGGAAACTATCCGCAAGCCTTGCAAGCCCGGTGGGAGTTCCCGCGGGCTCACAAGGCTTGCAGGCAGCAGCCTGCAGCCCCGGCGAGTGTCCGCAAGCCTTGCGCGCCCGGCAGAAGGTCCCGCCGAGCGCGTGAGGCTTGGGGCGGCAGCTTGTCACCCGAAGCATGGGGAGCCCTCCGGAGGGCTCCCCGTGCTTCGGGCGAGTGTCTGCAAGCCTTGCGCGCCCGGCAGGAGGTCCCTCCGAGCGCGTGAGGCTTGGGGCGGCAGCTTGTCACCCGAAGCATGGGGAGCCCTCCGGAGGGCTCCCCGTGCTTCGGGCGAGTGTCTGCAAGCCTTGCGCGCCCGGCAGGAGGTCCCACCGAGCGCGCGAGGGTTGGGGCGGCAGCATGTCGCCCGAAGCAAGGGGAGCCCTCCGGCGGGCGCCCCGTGCTTCGGACGAGTGTCTGCAAGCCTTGCGCGCCCGGCAGGAGGTCCCGCCGAGCGCGCGAGGCTTGGGGCGGTAGCCTGCAGCCTGAAGCACGCGGAGCCCTCCGGAGGGTGCCCCGTGCTTCTTGCAGGTGTGCACAAGGCTTGGGGCGGCAGCCGCGGCGGGGGGGGGGAATAATTTTTTTTATTCATTCCCCCCCCAAAAAACGAGGTGCGTCCTATGGGCCGGTGCGCCCTATAGAACGAAAAATACGGTATATGGAATGCAGTGGCCCTCTGTTTGTGGAATGTGTTTCCCAGGAAGGATCAGCTGGCGCCTTCATTATACACCTGTAGGCACCAGGTGAAAACGTTCTTTTTTTAACCAGGCCTTGGGCTGGTTGACATCTGGTGCCCCTTTAAATGAGTTGTGAAAGGGAGGGGATTATTGGGTTATCTTTGTTTTTATTATGTACTCTGAGTTTTTTTTATATTGTAATTTTATGTTGTGAGCCACCCTGAGGTCTACGGGTAGGACAGTATACAAATTCAACAAACAAACAAACAAACAAATAAACAATAGCAGCAGCAAGAACAAATACATTCCAAAAATATACTGATTTGTGGAAGTTGCTTTCTGGCTTTGGTCTTTGGTAAACATGCAGCTTGCTAGCTTTTGCAATGCCCAATTGAAAGTTGAAGGTAGAAATGGATGCTGTCACTTTTGGTTCTTCTGTTTCTCGTTTCTTCCAATCATAAGTGCAGTTTGCAACCTTTCTACATTAGTTTGTGTCGTGTGTGTGTGTGTGTGTGTGTGTGTGTGTGTGTTTGGGATGCAGGTGGCACTGTGGTCTAAACCACTGAGCCTTGGGCTTTCCAATCAAAAGGTCGGCAGTTCGAATCCTCATGATGGGGTGAGCTCCCATTGCTCGGTCCCAGCTCCTGCCAACCTAGCAGTTCGAAAGCACACCCAAAAGTGCAAGTAGATTAATAGGCACTGCTCCGGCGGAAAGGTAAATAGTGTTTTTGTGCGCTGCTCTGGTATCAGTGTTCTGTTGCTCCAGAGACGGCTTAGTCATGCTGGCCGCATGACCCAGAAAAACTGTCTTTGGAGTGGACAAACGCCTGCTCTCTCGGCCCATAAAGCGAGATGAGCACTGCAACCCCAGAGTCATCCATAGGTCCCTTTACCATTACCTTGTGTGTGTGTGTGTGTGTGTGGTCACAGGGTGGACGGTGGTTGCAGCCCAGTATGGTAGGCTCCAATCTTAGGGGTGGAACGCTGGGCAGTTGGCCAGCAGTTGGCTCCCTGGCTGGCTGTTTTGGTTGGAAGACTTTCCTGACAGCCAGTGTTTTAATTTGGGCCAATCCAACCAGGCCAGATGGGTGTGGTTTGGGAGTGGTTCAGAATGAAGCAGGCATCACTCCAGCCCACCCCTAGCCAATAAAAGCCTTCTGCACCTGACCTCAAGACTGCAATCAACTGAAGAACAACCCTTCCATCCCTCCCTATTTAGTCTTCTTGTAGTTTTGTATGCTCAATTTTCTTCCTTCCTCTGGCACGGTGTTCACTGGCTTTGCTGTGTTCCCGTAATGGTTGCCGTATTTGGAGCTGGGAAGGAATTTGCCCTGTTGTCAGGCTTTGCCTTCCCCATAGCAATAGTCACAACTTTGGTGGATAAGGCACTGGGTGGAATCCTTTAGTCTGACAACAGGTGATGGGTGAAGTGGTGCATCACCCCAACCTCAGAAGAAGTACATTCATAGGGCACCCTCTCAGAGGGGTCTAGATGGAGTCTCTGTCCAAACGCCAAGGTGTTTGGCTGATGGGACATAAAGCTGCCATCAGTGTCCTGGGAGGCCCATTTGTGTTTTGCAAATGACCCATTAATCCTCGACTCGACTGTGTCATGCCTCAACCCTCTACCAGTA